GTACTATTTTATCAGTGTGCTTAAAGGCTAAAACATACGTTTGTTGTACATGAATATACGTGGTTAATAATAATTTAATATAATGAAAGTATTTATTTGTTAAAATATCTAGAAATTTTGATTACAATAATGATTAAAAATTAAATCGAATCACATATAATTTTTTCAAATGTAAGTTTTAAAAAGGCAAATAAAAAAAAAAACTCTATCATACCGTCTTGATTTCAGTGTATGCTGTTGAAATTTGGATGCTTCAACGTATACAAATTCCATAAATAGTTAAATTATCTAAATGCCATATAATAAAGTACAACAATGTGGATGTATAAGCACACAATAGTATGATTAATATGACGATATTTGCGTGCAATTATTTTAACATAATTACCTACACAATAATTATTGAAATCGTTACTATACGTCTTACTTAATTCTGGCTTACAATAAACAACATGTATCGCACATACCCGCGCACACCACACTTTGTTTTTCATTAGATATAATATTTTATATATTTAAATTTTTTATTTTTTTTTACCGTAGCTTATACATATACATATAATTAAAATATTTATGGAAATAAAACTAAATAGTTGAAATACAAAAAATTATATATAAATATATATTAACTGAAAATCAATATTCATTAGTATAAAAAGAATATTCGATGAGAAAATTCATATGTATAAATGATTATACTTGAAGTTTTGTACGAAAAAAGTGTTTAATGATACCGAACCAAATCGTTTAAATATTTCAATATACGAATAGCATTAGCACCACATATAATAAGTGATTTTATAGTAATATTTTATCAATATTTATAAATATCGTTCAGATTGACATGACCTTACTATATTTAGCTTAACCACTGGTATAAATGTTATACTATTTAAGAAATTGTAATTTAATGTCAATCTCCAGATGTTAAACATTTTTAATCGCATTCAATTATTTATTTTAAAGTTTTCTTTTGTTTCCTAGTCTATTTTTTTTTTTTAATAATCATCATTTTATATTGTACCAATCCATAAATGACATGTGACAACAATTGTAGTTCCATAAATTTGTCAACAAATTGTAATATTTTTCACTATATACAATCTTTTTTTGAATACTTATGGAAGTTCAAATAACTCTAAGGGCTAATCATACAAATAAATAAAATTTAGTTAAATTATATAAATATACACAACACACTCAAAGTTTATAATTGATTGTATCTTAATTGTTAATTAAAGTATTACAATGTAATTTTAAAATATTGTATATAATTAAGATATTAATTGTAAAATATTAAGATATTATTTATTCCATATCAAAGCATTTTGATTATATTTGTATACGTACGAGTTAAGATACATATATATATATATATATCTGTAGCTCAATAATATAATCAAGGTTATAATTATTTTTATATAATTATTTTCTCTTGCGTGTTGTAGAATTAAATCATATAGCACTTAAATATTTTTATTTTTATTTTTACTTTTGATAAAAAATGGTGTAGTAGTATTCACCAATACGTCGGGGACCTTGAAAAAAAATAAATTCTTTGCCGGGTAAGCATAAAAAACGCATGTTAAAAATTAAAGTCATGCTAGAATTACATTAAAATCTGTAATAGTACTATTTTTGAGAACCTAATTTTAAAAATAAATTTAATATGTTTTTATCATTTAAAAATGATATGAATTGATATAATGATAAAAATAAAAGAAGCCATCGTCTTCTTTCAATGTCAACTCGGATGTTCCCCAAGGTGGACATATACTCCTCTTCTTATTTTTGTTGTTCGTAAATGATCTAGATAATGCGTTCCGCTTTTGTAAATATTCTCTTTTTTCCGATGACTCAAAAATGTATATAACAATTAACTTCCTTGAAGATTGTGAAAGGTTACAAGACAATTATGTTTGTATTATGAATTGGTGCATTGATAACCGTTTAAATATTAAGGTAAATAAATGTTTTCAGATATTCTTTATCTTCTTTATTCTTCATCTCAACAAACTTTCAAAATGGTGCAACACATGGAAAATTAAAGTAAATGAACTCAAATCCACACACGTCACTTTTACCCTCAGACCAAAGGACTGTCCTGAAGTTTCTTTCAATAACTCAGTAATCCCCCACTCAAGGGAAGCTAAATACCTTGGCCTCTTATTCGACAGGAGACTCACCTGGGGTCTCCATTTCAAAAGCAAAAGAAAACAACTTAACTCCCACCTACACCTAATCAGACCTCTCCTCAAATCCAATATGAATTTATCCAACCGTCTAATTTTATACAAAAGTCTCCTATAACCAATATGGTCTTACGGTATAGCTCTCTGAGGCACTGCCAAACCCTCAAACCTCAGGACAATTCAAGCGTTCCAATCCATCTGCCTCCGCATAGTCACTAAAGTCCCATGGTACGTCACAAACGCCACTCTACACGAAAATCTCAATGTCCCATCCATCAACCAGACTGCAGCCAATTTCTATTCAAGACTCCACTTCAAAATGCAAAGCCAACTTATATCTCAACTTCACTCCAATACACTTCCAGGTAACCCTACCCGACGCCTTAATCGGAAATGGTCCAGAGATCTTCTCAACACCCAAAATTAATTTAATATTCATGTAAAGGTAGCTCTACTGTGAGTTTCCCTTTTCACCGTCCCATCACTGTCATTCCTCCAACAAATTTACTCATTGTACATATAATAGTATAGATTGTAAATATTCAATAAACGATATTTCATATTAAAAAAAATATTAAAGATATTCTTTACCAGGCACAAAAAACCATTACTTACTTATAATAACTCTATTTATGAAACGAGCTTGAATCAGTGTCTTCCATCAAAGATCTAATAAAATCTATAAAGAATCATTCTATCTGCAGACTTTAAATTCTCAAACCACATTTAATTTATTTATAAAAAAGTTATGCAAAGGGTTTATTAGAAATCAATGTCATGAATTTATTAATATTCAATATTTAAAAAATTTATATATCTCCCGGGTTTGCTTGAATTTAAAATATTAGTCAATAATATGGAATTCGTTTTAAAATGATCAAACAAGTCGTACACATAATATATAATCATACTTCTTAAAATACTTATCTCATATGTTTATGTTGAATTTCCCCACTAAAGAAATTTCTTGTAAATTAGGTTAACACTTACTAACTTCTAAATGAAAATTGAATGATGTATCATTTATTTATAAAATTTTAAATGGCAATATCATCTGTCCTGAAATAATGGAAAAATTGATTGGTTGATTCCTACTATTTACACTTGGTCTAGGTTTACTTTTAATGAACCAACCCATACCCAATCGTACAGTTTTAACATACCCAAAAATCGTATGCTTTGGGATTAAACATAGTGTAAAAGATTTTGACTTCAATTTTGACTGCGAGTCTCAATTTCGGTATTTAACTTTAAATTTTGACTAAAGAATTGTACCTACACCTACGTGTTTTATTTTACTTCTGTATAAATAATATTATTTAAAAATTACTATCAAACTTATAATATCTGTTTTACACATATATAATTTATAAACAATTTTATTATAGTTTAATATTTGTAATATTAGTTTAGTCATCTTTATTATATGTTTTGCCATAAGAACTTATGTGCACTAATTTTCCCACTGGAGTAATTCAATAAAATAAAATATAAAAAATCTTAACTTAAAATTATAATATGCTTATACTACTTACACTGGATTCATTTATAAAAAAATGTATTTTATTTTTAATATGAGTAAATATTTATAAAATATATTCCATAATATTCTACGTTATTTATGGTTTTTGTTATCCGTAAATGTGTAGTTTTTATTAATATCAATCGTAACAGTCAATTTCTTAAACATTTATGTTGATCGGTTTTAAAACGTTGTTTATGTTTATATTTACATGTCTGTATGTATATGACATGTAATAATACTACACTATACATTTTACTAATTTATGATTATTGTCTGTACATGACCAATAATCATAAAAAAGACTTTGAAGTTTATTTATTTAGTAATGTACGGAGCGAGTAACAATATTTAAAACATTAATTTGACAGCACGCTCGGAAGGCGATAGACTACTGTTATTAGCACGAGAGCAACGAATGTGTTATGGAAAGTATAGAAACCAAAATAAACATAATAGCCACGACATTTCGTTTTACATAGTTCGGCGATTCGCTAGTTTGAAAAAATAAAACAAAAATGACTGTAAATATAAATATTTTTATGTACACATATTATAAGCGTGTGTATTTGTATGAAATGAAACGCTGGTTTTTCGATTTGCATAATAAAATAAAACGATACGTGTATAATAACGTGAAACACAGTTTTCGCCATTACACCGAATCCATGTAATATGCGTTCTCGTGCATTTTCGTAGTATTATTATCGAGTCTCGCGAGTGACCTTTTATGCGGAACCGTATAATAAACGGCTGCACGCGTATTATAACGATATAAAACACACTTGCGCGCACGCGCCCCTTCGACACCCCCGGGGTGTACGGGGCTCGTTTCATTTCGTCATCGGGTGCAGCACGCTGGTACACGTTTTTAATAATAAATTATTTTGGATTCCATTGACCGTTACGAAGCCACCGAGAGCGTAACATAATAATACGTATACACGCGTGTGTAAACCTACCGGCTATTACGAAATAATAAAATAGCAAAAAAAATAAAATAAAATATAAACCGAACCCCCTGCTCCCACCCGATGCCGTTGCGAGTCATGAGCGCGGTAGCTGTCTGCCACTGTGTGATTATTATTATTATTATTATACGTACAGTCCAATAAAAACTTCATTAATCAGTTTGCGTGTTAAGCCGATTTCCTTTTGAACGCGAAAGAGAAAAAAATAAAATGAAAATAAAATATGTACATAAAAATCACGAAAACCATTGCACAACACAGCCGTCGCCGGGAGCGTACAGTGTTTCACCGTACCCTTACGGTGTATTTTCGTGCGGTGGTCGTGCGGCGACGGTGGAGGGGGAGGAAAGAAATGACCAAAGAAACCGAAGGATGAAAGGGTAAACAAGGAGTTTCACCCACGCGACGCCCGCACTCACGCGCCCGCGCGCGACCGGTCACTCGCAACACACGAACCGCGCTCGCACACACGCGGCCGGTCATTTATTACATAGACGTGGCGCCGCAGACACGTCGTCGACCGCGATGGCCAGGACAACTGCAAGGAACGCTTTGTTGGTGATGTACTGCTGCTGGTGCGCGATGACTTCCGTCTGGCTGGCGGTGGCCGCGGACGTCGGCCATGGGACGCCGGCAGCGCGACCCGGTACCGATAACGGGACGGTGTCCAGGAGCAAGAGATGGTCCACGACGTTCGGCGCCACATCGAGCAACAAGAACGCGACCGGTGAGTGATGGGCGCGCGTTGGGTGGTGCCAACCTTGGCCGTCCCGTCCCGTCCGGGCCAATCCAACTGGGTCCATAACGTTGCGTGTACATGTGGGGAGAGGATGGGTGGACGGTATTAATAGATAACGTGTTCGGCGGGAAATCTGATCCTTGCAATATGATTGTTATCGCCAACAAAATTTTAAGAAAAAATGAAAATAAATAAAAATGTCCGGGAGTATGAAAGTATAATAATAATTACGGTATAATTCAAAGATCAAACGTGTCATGTTTTTTATTTATATTTGGTATTTTTAGAAGGCTCAGTGTTCAGGCTATGCAACTGCATACCCTGCATATGCTCTGCGCATTTCTGTGATTTTATTGGCACACAATACATTCAATTAAAAATAATAGGCTGAACTTGAGTTAATGTATTAGAAGCTATAAGACATTTTAATGGGTTAAGACTACTTAATGTCCCCTCTAGTTACGTCAATGATCTGGTGATTTTGTTTTTTTATATATACATGGTAAGCAGTCTTGTAAACGATATTTTTTGATAGTACTCAAATACAAATACAGATACCTGTTTTCAAAAGTATTTAAATACTTGATAAGATAAACGTTCAAGTACGAATATAAATACTTCGCAAAAGTATTCAAAGATACTTTTAAATACATAAAAAAGTTTCATAAAATTGTTTTACTTAAAATCACAAAAAAAAAAATTTAAAAGAAATTTAAAAATGTATTCATGTCTTAAATGGTTGCAACGAATAAATTAGTTCAGAGTTCCCATAGGTTATAAAGCAGAATTAAAATGTAATTGAAAAATGAAAATAAAATTAATTTTCAATTGAGCTGTGAAATTATTAATTTATATGGGTAGTTATGTAATATATTATAGTCATAATAGTTAATTATATTGTAGACTATAAAAAATATTTTCAGATTCTGATGTTTGGAAAGGAATTGTCTCGAATAGGTCTGTACGGAAAATTTTTATAAAATAATCACATATAAATTTTTTTTTTTTTTTTGTTCAACATGGATAAATGGTTTATATCTTATTATTTATATATATATGGTTGTATTGTTAATATTATATTAATATAGAATTGGTAAATTAATTTAATATTTTAATGTTATAGAATAGAAATAAAATTTGTAAAAAAAAGTATTTGATTTTAAAATGATTTGGGTATGTGATGAGACGAGAGGAAACAAAATCAGTAAAAGTGGTTACGAAAATAAACGTTAAAGGGAAAAGAGGAATAGGAATACCAAAAAAGAAATAGTTGGTTACGATTGAGAATGATATGAAGCCAGTTGGTGTGTGTTTAGGGAATGTGTTCATAATCAAGACGAATAGAGGTTTAGGACAAAGGTTCTCCCCAAATTTTTGGGAGAAAGGCGGAGAAGAAGAAAAAGAAGAAGAAGTATTTGATTTAAAATACATATACTCTGGAAAAATTTATAAAATACAACGTCCAAATATTTCTTTTAAAATTATTTAAAATACGTATTTAAGTACATGAAAAATATTTCAATGCTTTTATTAATAGCATTTTTTCATTTAAAAACTCGATTTCTTTACAAGACTGATGGCGGCAGGACCATAGTCATTATCACTGGATGTAGTTCTCGGTGTGGTACTTAATTTATTTTACTCATGTGAATTGTCCGGTAATGTCTTAATCGCAGGGAATAACAATAATATAATTTTGTGTTTAACAATTACAAAATTCAATAAGTTATAATAAATCCGACCAAGGAATCCTTAAAATAACCGTATATGAAAAATATATAAAAATCAGTTTATATTCATAAAGTCTAAGTGTTTTTTTTTAAAAAAAAATTTTAAGCTTTTTATCCTTTGTTTAAAAATTATCAAAAATAAAAAGTTACGTTTTACAAGTAGAGTGCGGAAAATTGCGAAACGTAGCTACAATACACGTTTATTGTTTCGATTTACAGTTGATATATATTTTGGTACACCATCGTATTGACTAACTTGTAAACATTTTCGTTCGTTTATTGTAAGAATGCTGTTAAATTTGTAATTGATGAAACAATATGTTAATTCAGATTTGGATAATTTCTTTTTTCTATGTAGTATAAGATATTTTTTATCGTTTATTTGCTATCGAAGACCCGAGACCAGGTTAAACTGTAGGATACATTTACATTTGTCTGCTCCCATTTTCAAAGTAGTTGTGGTTTAAACGAGTCTAGGTTATATTTTTATGCATTGTATATATTATAATGTTATTCAGACTGCTTATACTACATTGGACACGTATAAAACTTATAAATTTTTATCGATCCATATACATTTCTGAGAGTATGTATGTGTGTGCGCGCAATATTATCAATGCTCGTGCTCCGACAACAAGAAGGAAAATTAAAAGGTTTGCAGTGAATAAGAAAAAGACTTGGAGTGAAAGAAAGTGTTGAGAAGGTAGAAGGAAAATAGTAAGGGAGTGCAAAAAAAATATATGCACCATATATTTACGGTTGTTTCGCACGCTAGGGCTACGGTGATAGCCATTGTACCAGCATAGGTTTACATATATGCATGTATATGTGTATTAAATATAGGTAAGCAACGATGAAGACGGTGACGAATTGTTTGACGCCTTCGTCGAACACGTAAAAAAAAAAAAAAAAAAGTCCGTGTGCATAAAATATGTCTTCGAAGAGGTACATGTTATTTTACACGTGTGCATAATTTATAGACCTTTTACGAGCAAGAACGGTCTACATTGTTTAAAATAACGATGCAATAATGGTGGGGGGCATATGGTTGTAATAATATGTACATAAAACGTGCGAGCGAACGCGATTTTAAACTTAAAAATGTACTATGCGTACACACGATTTTCTTGTACACCATTTGTCCGACTACCGAAGTCTGGGAGTGGAAATATAATACGCTTCTGTTAAACGCTAACTTAAACACTATATACGACCACGCGTGTTATACGATTTCGATTATGACGATTATTTTTTATTGAAACATTTCTGTAGATTATATATAAATATTTTTGCGTTCCGTGTATAATATGCGGTGCTCATATTTGACTGACTCGAGATAATACGTCAAGATCACATCGTTCTGATTTTGAAATAACTTTATCCTTGTGTTGTTTGTGTAACGAGGTATCAACATTTGTTTTTATAATTTTTCATCACATTCTAGATGTATGAACTTTTGTAGTTAATTATAAATGTTTGTCAAAATGTTTTATATTTGATTTTAAAATATTCTTAAGTTTATGGTTGATATGAATATTTTATAGATTGAGTTTATAAAGATTATCCTTGCTTAAGTTTTCAACGTCGATTTTCTTATTTTATACCACAAATACCCATAATAATCAAAGATCTGTACTAATTTATTTTAAATTATGATTTTACGATTTATTTCTACAGAGATTTTAGTTATTTTTAGAACTAAAATATCTAAAGAACAATATTATAAAAATACGTATTTAAATAAATAAAGAAAGAATTTAAAAGAAAAATTCTCTTTAAATTATCTCTAAATTACAAAATAATAAACTTTAAACGATTTCAGTGATAATCATATTATACAATATGCAGTAAATAAAAAAAACCTAATATGTTACATATTACTTTTAAAAACATTTTGCATCGAGCTCATATTAATATAATATTTATCGTAATCTATGATTGATCTTAATGCAGTCCAACAATCATGATTCGATAAAACAACTTTGATTATTAAGTGGTCATTTTTGTATAAGTTATTAAATATGAAAAGTATTACTTACGTAATTTATGTGTTTATATATATATATATATACATGGTATATAATTTGGCATTCAATTAAAATAATTTTTCTGATACTGGCAAAGAGTACAATTTAAATTTATCATTTGGTATTATATTCAAGTTTTTCAATGAACAAAAAATTAATATAAGTATACAGATAGAAGATGAACATTGGGAATGCAATAAGTTAAAAAACTAATAATGAAATATTTATTTGTTTATTTCATACTTTATTAAAATTTTGTGTAAAATGATTCAATATTTAATTAATAAATGAATGTAATCATTTTAAAATAGGTTCAAGTCCAATCAGTTTTATTTAGGGCCATAATTTTATGTTTAAAGGTTGTAGAATATTTATTAATCATTTTGTTGATGGTTAATTTTTATTTCATTTTATATGAATAGCAACCATAAATTAAGTCGTCATGTTATTATGAACCCAAAACATAAATTAAGAAGGTACCTAGTTATAATTTTCTTGTTACATAAGATATATAATTATTTCTATGAAGTCATTGGAATATTATGAAACATTGTCATTTATTTAAAAAGTATGTATGAATAATAAAGTACAAGTATTTTTAAAAAAAAAGTACACACACGTTGTAAAAATTATACAATTTTACCTATTTGAGTCTATACGTGTACAACTCATGAATTATTCTATGAAAACGACGAGTATTATGTAAATAATGATCAATAGCAGGGATGTTCTGAGGAATTTTTTGAGGAAGAAATGGGGTCCAAAAATAATTTCAATCAAGTAAAAAAAATAATGAAAAAAATCCAAATCCTAATGAAACATTAAATTATTTTTTAACGATACTTAATATGTAACAGTTATTTTCAAATATAATTTGGGTCTTCTATATAAATGGGCTTGGAGAGGGTGGTCATTTTAAATCCTCAACGGTACTTTTTTTGATTTATAGATGTAGAAAGGATGGTATTCTTATTTCATAATTAATCATACACCCGCATTATATATACCAAAACTAAATGCTTTAGTTTTGAAATTATTACATCAAAATAGAGGATATTTCGTACATTGATAATGGGTAATATATTTATAACCTACAAGGGTTGTATTATTATTTATTCACTATTTCTTTAAAAAATATGAGTTAGAATTAACTCAAATTAAGAAATAAATAAATTTATAATTGGATATTTTCAGGTAATAATGGAATTCGAGAATGTAATACGGACTCGGATTGTCTAGAAACGCTATTTACGTCTTGTGGGGTTGATCCTAGTGACAGGAAAAAAAGATGTTTCTGTGCAGACGGAAAACTGCCATTGAATGGAGACTGTTTAAAAAAGCCAAGAGGTATAACTAAAGGATAAATCATTTTTTTCTAATTTTCAAATGAAAAAACTAAAGCGAATTTATTATTTACTGATAATATAAATAATATAAGTACATTGTTCTAGATATATATTTCAATAAATTATACAAACATATGTACTAGGTATGTGGTATAAAATTCAAACTTTCACATTATAATTCCCCTTTTATTCTCTCGTTTCTGATTCTATAATATATTTTACATTTTGTTGATTTTATTATTATTATTATTATTTTATTATTATGTTATTCATTTTCAATTCATCATTATTCGTATTTCCAGCGAGTTTATAAAATCGTTATAGAACTTTTAGTATGTACTAAATTTTTGCCAGGACCGCTTTTTGTTCCAGCATTGAGAACGTCATGTGAAACGGATTTGGAGTGCTTGCCAAATGCTATATGCAAGAATAACGCCACATCAACAAATTCGAGATTGAAAATATGCATGTGTAAAGATGGTTTCACCGAGGAAAAAGATTCTTGCAATTGTAACTAGTTACTTACACTAATTTATTTAAAATACATTTTTCAGAGTACAAAGCTTATTTCTAAAGGTTTCATTATGTTTTTGATTTAAAAATAATGAAATAATATATGAGTAGTTACAAGAAATTTAATTTCAAAAATAATATTATATATAAATTAATTAGATATTAAATATATCTATATAAAACTTACATTTTCATACATTTATTTTTATCTTTTTTTATTTTATGAACCAGTTAAACTATTTCAGTTGTTCTTTTAAGCAATTGTATTTTACGTGTAGATATATTTTAATTAATATATTTGAAAATTTACTGTTAAAGTAGTTATTGGTTTTTTTAACATAATTACTTTATTGCAAATATTATTTTGTTTCCATTTAATATTTTCAAAACTGAGGGTTTCAAGAGTGTGCGTAAAAACAAAATTTGAAAATTAATTAATTAAAATAACAACTTATATCTTTGTGAATTTAAAAATGTTGAATAAATTGAAGTATATTTCACGTAATTTATGAGTCATATTTGCATGAAAGACAAAAGGTTTTATTATGTCTTTACTGTAATTGGTGTTTGGTTTAAATTGATTAATGTTCGTATGTGTGTTTTTCAATTTATTTTAATAGGTAGAAGATATATCAACGCAGAAACCAATAGAATGTCGGTTAAAATTACTTTAATTGGCCGTTTGTTCTCTATTGTTAATATTGCGTGACTTAGGTTTAGTTCCTACGATTGACCAACAAATTATTGTCAGAATAGTCTGCAAAGCAGTTTGACGTTTGACCTTTAATGTTCACGTTATATAAGACATATTGATAGGTTATCATTTAAAAACGGATTATTTATTTTTGATTTTGAATTTTTTATGACAATGAAAAAATAAACGATTCTCCAAATTATATTATATACTAATACAAATGTCAGAATTAAAAAAATAAGTATTTTGAATAAAAACTAACTTCAGAAAGTATTTCTGTGTTATTAATGAAATGTATATACTTACCAAACATAGTTTTGAAATAAAATTGTTGTATTATTTTACATTGGATTATACATAATAATTAAAGAAGATCTCTTTAGGCCCATTCATAGTTATAATTGAATCAAAATATAATAATCATTTGGATAGTAGTCGATAAACATAAATGTTCTATCATTTAAAAAATAATAAATATTTTATAATCTAGCCAATCAAAGGAAAATTATTTATGTGAAGTTTTAAAATTTTTAACATAAAATATGTTAACAAAATAATAATAATATTTTTTTATTTATATATTATTTAAATATTAGCGAGTGTGATTTATAATAGTTCAAGCGAAACTTATATAAACATATATCATAATATATCAATACTGTACGATAGTTTGTTTTATACCGATATATTTTTAATTCATAAATATGAATATAAATAGATATTCAATTTTTAACAAATATTAGTATATATATTTATTTTTTTCATAATTTAATATAAAACAAAAAACTACAATTTCGTTAGATTTATATTATTTTGTTTTTTGAAACCGGCGTGTTGGATAGACAATTTCAGTACAGTTGTGCGTAAAAATTATAATATAGTATATATTGTAGCTGTAAAATGTTTTCTGATAATTGATATCCAAGTAAATTTTAATTAAAATAACTATCAAGTATAAAATAAAATACTGTACATGCAGTAAATATACGTACGTTAATTAGTGATTTATCACACCGAAAAATTAATAATTATATTTTTATCTACTTTTTAAAATAGTGATTGGGGATCGTGTGTAACATACAGTAAAACCAAATAAAACGAATATTATATAAAAACAAAATAATGTAATAAAATATGTATGATATTTGATGAGAAGGTCAATTATATTGACAGTCTGTGTACAAGTGTCACTAAGCTAAAGCCACTGTAAATATTTATTACTTCTTGTTTAAAACTACTTATATATTTCCTTTTTTTCAGATGCTGATTTATTAACCTTCAGTTACACAACCTTGTTCGTCACAGTTTTCACTTCATGGATATGGAATGATTGTCGTGCTTAAGCCATCGTAGACTTTTTGAAAGAAGTTTTTCCGTAACTTTTTTCTTTTTTTTATGCACTACTTATAAATAATTTACTTAAATTTTTTTATTAATAATTTTCACTAAATTAACGCACACATTAATTATAATATTTATTGTTCCCTGTTTATACTGTTACATGCAGTCTATTTGACTTTAGTTCAAATCAATATGTTTCAATATTATGCAATATAATATAATATATTAAATAATAATGTATAATATAGTATTATACTATAATACATCAAATGATTTTATAATTTTTAAAATACTTTTAATACACGTTATTTTAAGATTTATATCGAATAATTTAAACATTCTTCTGTATGTAATTCATTTTAATCTAATATATTATGTTATTGAATAAATTTATAATCCAATTATTTTACCGAATTCAAACACGAATTAAATATAAACAAAACATGTGTTATTTCACTATATATTTATTTTATAACTTGTCGTTCAAATTGTAAATTTTATACTAGAATAATAAGAAGAATAATAATAAGATATATAATATATCATCATTTATGTTCAGGTTTATCGTAGGCTCTTTAATGTATGAGTGTCATTTGTTCAACAACTGTTCAATTTTAACTTACATGCGTATTGTTTTTACATGATTATTTAATGTCAACTTAAAAATAATTTTTTATTTCAATAACAAGCTTGATTAAAGTTATCAAAAAATATTATTTAGAACTACAGAGCTTATAGAAATATCATTTAAATATATAACCTATATATATAGTTACAGGTAAAAAATCGATAAAATTAATAATAGCCAACGACCAACTGTGTATTATATTGAAATAAAGACTATATGGGTATTTTTTTTTTTTTATAATCACACAAATTGATTGTACTGATTTCTAATTTTTTTTTCAGATAGCTAAGCTATATTAAAAATATTCAGTCATTGTACCACAATAAAATGCATAATATTTGATTTGATTCAGTATAAAAATAACGTTTTTACGTTACATAGTTCATTTTTTTCACAAAAAGTAAGAATTGTTTTCCCTCTAAATTTCAATACATCCTTGGTTTTATAGTAAACTATTTTTAGAAAAATGTGTATTTTACTTTAAGTTTAAAAATGTTTTAATTTCTTAAATACCAATAAAATATCATTATTAAGTGATTTTATTTGAAATTTTATTTTCTGGTAAATAAAAAACAATATAATGAAATCGAATCGTTGAGTCATTTAAATTCGAATGGAGAGAAAGATAAAATCTTAGACAGAATGGTTCTAAAATGCATGCAATTTATATAATTTTAAAATGACCAATAATATTATGAAAACACATTTTTTAAATTCAATGATTTAATATTGATTGCAAATGAATACTAATACAATACGAATGAAAGGAATAAAATCAAACAAATCTTAATCCTACATTATGACGACTTTTTAAATGTTTAGTTTTATATTCCTGTTATACTAATTAAATATCGTCATACTCGTATATATATATATATATATATATATATATATATATATATATATATATACTCATATATATATTATTATGTAATTTTAATTTATGATAATATATCAATTACTTAATCGATGAGTGGACTAGGTGCAGAACGAAACCAAGGAAGGGTAAATGGAAACAATTTTAGACATGTATTTTTTTTCGTTAGTACCAATGAAACTGTTTGAAAATGTTTAAAAACGAATTAATCTTATAATTTTTGACTAAAAAAAGGAGTTAAACAGAAACATAAACCCAGTTGCGTTTCGTCGATAAAGGATGTACACCAATGACATTTGAGTTAGTACATAGATTAAATATATAGTATATATTTACTATTTATTTGTATCTATATCACGGTTATCTACACGGTGTATAATATATATTATTATCAGGTGACATTATATACTAGATTCCTCATGTGCCTTATTTGTGTACCATATCATACATGTAACCGAAATATGGGATAGACTTGTATTGGTATTTAGTCGTATATTTGTAAACATATGAAAGTAATTCAAAACATACGTCTATTTTTTGTATGTATTTATACGAATGATGAATCATCGCATTTCTAAAACGATTCAAAGTTCGAATGTCTGTGGAAAACTTTTGTTCAATATTTTTGTAAAATTTTAACTAAAATACATCACGCTATATAAGAATTTAATTAGCTGGCATTCGGGTCACAAGTCCTGAAACCAGGTACCTAAGTACAATAACTTAATTTAATACTAAAAAAAAAAAATCTTACATTTTTCTTATAAAAAAATGTAAATAAAGAATTTCATTTAAAGTTAAGAATATTTTATTATAAAAGTGGGTTAAAAGAATAATTCTTAATAATTATTGTTATGAACAATAATAATTATTTTACAATCGTGCGTTACATCTTAAAAAATTGAAATTTATCAATACTTAAAAATATTTGATTAGTTATTTGCAACGTATAAAAGTTTTATTTTTAGTGAAAATTCATAACATAAAATATATACAAGTATAAACATCAATGAAAAAGATTTTTTTTACATTATACACCCATAGTATAATTATTTTCTTTATTCATAATTACAATGCTCGTAATAACAAATAAGATTATATATGATACAAGCACAGAATTAAGTAATCTTATCTATAGTCACGTGTACAAATAAACAAGGCGTTGTATTCGAAAGATTTATTCGGTTACCATTGATTTAAATTTGATATTATGTTTTTTTCTTTTTAGTAATTTAGTTGGACCTATTTTATTAACAGTATAATCAATAATCAATATTGGTAAATATTTTTTTGGATTGGGTAACTTAAAAACGTGTATTACTTAGGGCTTGAAATTGATTTAAAAATCGATTTCATATTTCGATAAAAATCGTTAAAAATCTTTTAGAAAATCAAAATCAATATCAAAATCGTTAATGTTTGGTAATGATTTTCAAAATTTGTATTGAAATTCAAAAAAGTTAAAATCGATATTTTATATCAAAATCATAATCATTTTAATAATTAAAACGATTTTAAATCAAATTAATTTATAATTCAACAGCCAACAGGTCTACTTATTTTCAATTCATAGATATTGCCATATTTGGTAATAATATTGATTATACATAAAAATAAATAATTAGTACCTATTTTATTTCCTTAGAATATTTACGATAAGGAATCAGCGTTCGACGAGCAATTGTTGTTATTATACCCACTATTAATTCCGTATAATACACTTTATAGACATTTTATAGTGTATTATGGATAATATATTAATTTATAATACTCCATTGGCTGTCACCCGTAAGTTATACTTTTAACTAATAATATACAATTAAATAACCTTAAATAGTTTTATTTTGTACTTTTGCAGTCGTTACAGTATACAACACAATTATGCTGATAATGTACTAAAATTTGATAAATAATTATAAGTTATGGATAACATTCTGTTGTGAAATCGAAAAAAAATAAATACCGACTTCTGAAACCAAATTTGAAAAAAATGAATATCAATATTTGAAATTAAAATCGAAAATAAAAAAAAAATCAATATCCATAATCAAAATTGAAATTAAAATCGAAATTTTTTATTTCGATTTCAAGTCCTGGTATTTCTCCAAGAATACAGTTTAGTATCTACTGTTTTAAAAACGTAGTAGCATTTCTTTAGACATTTCACCAACAGAATGGTTGATATAACAAATGTTTAAACATGTTGAATTATGCCACATTGTACAGTCATATATTTATATTATGGTTGTTGAGATATAATTAAGTATATTTGAAAGTAAAATTTCCTTTAGATTTCTTATAATGTTTTTCCTGAGAGAACCTAGGTTTACAAACAGTAGTTATTTTAACCGATATTAATATTGTAGTCAACGACTTAGTTAAATTAAACTAAATAACTGACGTTAGATTAACTTCCTTCTATTAAAATTACTACAGTTCTAGATAGGATTTCAGTCACTGTGTCTACAATCATTTCAGTTTGTAACCTCATCGACATTTTTAGAGTAATTATAATTATATTTTATAATTCAGGAGGATTTTAGACGCAAAAAATTATTTTTTACATGGCTATTGTTATTTGTTATTGGACTTTGGGAATAATTGAATAATTTAAAATGTAATTTATGTATTTATGCAAAATGTCGTTTTTTAAAGCCATTATACTATAAAAAGAAAACAAAAAATGTACCACAAATTCTTCTTGTATACTCATATACAGATTGAAATTTTTTTCAATAAAAAAATAAAATATTTTTCTTCTGTGATTAGAATATATATTTCGATTTGTTTTATTTTATATTTCATTCATACAGGTGGTGTGCAAGTAATGATATCATCAATAGAGCAATAATTTTGAATGCTATTGTTTTAAATAACAACTACATAGTTTAATGATTTTATGTTTATTTTCTAGTATAAACTATATAATGTGAGTCAAAAAAGTTTCTTATGTTTTTTCATAAATTTAATAAAATAAAAATTTATAAAAATGGAATTTTTTTTTCTCGAACTTTGTGATTAGTATATTATACTATATAACTAATAACTAATTAATAAATAACTAATTATACTAATAACTAATCACTAAAGTACTCTGATTATTATTAACACTATATTATCACATTTTTAATGTTTTTTAGGGTTGATGCGGTTGTTTCGCGTAATAAAAAAGCAATACATTTGTAGGTCACTATTACAAAAAGGTCGAGAAACACTGCTATAGGGTATACTACATATATGCCGTATACTCTCAACAATATTTTGAAAATTCTCGGGTACACTGCGTATACTTTCAAGTCTCAAGCACTTTGCGGAAAAGTATTGAATGTAATAAGTTTTACAGTTTTTAATTTTGGCCTTATTTTGTAATAGACTTCTAATAGTTTTCCTTTAAATCATTAGTGTATTACTATGAAGTAAGTATGGTCGGTATACTATATATTTACGATGGTATAATTTTATTTAAATAATTTTAATTTCAACTTTTATAAAAAATAAAATGTAAACATTTTAATTTTTGTAAATGTTTGCAACCCTTTCCCACCACCACCGTCTAAAATATTCAGTATACTCTCAATAAAATTGATGGGAATATCGCTGGTTTTAGGTAATCAACCGCTTAAGCAGTCTATAATTATAAAGCGACGGAACTTAAAATCATTTTCAACTTAAACGAATGAAAACTTAGACCAAGTTTTAATGGTCATATTTTATTTTTATACTAAGTATCCTAATTAAAGTATTTTTTTAAGTAACAGAATAAAAAAAATATATTTACCGTTTGTACATGTTATCTAATAAGTTACGTCCCGTATATATATATATATATATATATATATATATATATATAAGTGTATATTAAAAAGGACTAATAAATTATGGAAACAATTAGGAGACCAATACATACCCAACTACCTATTAACCAATAGCGTGTCTGAAAACAACAGACAATAACATGCATTAATATATTATAATGCAAAAAACGGTAAGAGTTTTAATCAATAATTATTTTTTATAAAGTTTTAGTGTAAAATAATTGGATTCACAGTTAAAACTAGTAATATCTTATCAAACTAAATAAAAGGGTTTATATTGTTCAAAACAATTTTTAGTTGAAAACAACATAACAATATTCATTATACATATTATTATTGTGTTATTTATATTATATGATGTAAACTATAAAAAAGTAGTATTTTATGCCATTGATAATGTGTATTGGATTAAATAAGTAGTTTGCTATAATTTCATATATTTTATAATGACATATAATCAATGTTAAGTAAGACAACCTATAATTGTATAAAGATTAAAAATAAAGATAAACTTTAAGTTAACTAAATTAAATAAAAAGATAAAAGATAATTATTTAAAATAACATTAAAAATGAAATTCTAAGCTATTTTTTTTTTATAATAAATTTATTTATTTTTATGCCTTAAGATTCTATAGAATATTTTTATTTTTTTACAAGTGAATAGGTAAATCTTATGAATTGAGTTAATGCGTCTAAATTTTACATCTATCTACTACATTTTCTTTCCTCAAAATAATAATTTTAATAAAGAAATAAAAATAAGGATCCAATAGTTTACACTTAAGTACTTAACACTTAGTACTTAAATAGTTTGAAATAATTTATACTTATAATATAATAAAAAAATCGACAAGATTGGATCATTCGGTTCAACAAATTAAATTTTCTGGTTAGTTTCAATTTTTAATTCAAAGTCTAAATCTATAAGAGAATGGATTCAAGTTCATACTTCTCAAAGTTTTTATCAGTCATTGAACCTCTTCGCTTATTAAATAACTGACTTGAAGAATTCTGGTTAAATTTAACTATATTTCTTATTTTCTCTTTTTGTAAAGGGTTATGTATAAGAATCTTCAATAATAATTTTATTATATTTATAAATTTTATATTAATTAAAATGAGTTAAGTTAAAAATTAAACTGATGAAAATGTAAATAAAAAGTTAAAATTAACTTAACTTTTAACTGAACATTAACTTTTTAATTCGTTTATGCTTAAGCTTGAATAATTTTGGTAGGTTTTCAAATAGTCGATTGAAAAACATAGATTGTTTTCGATTATGAATGATATAAATTGTAATTAAATTATTGCTATTATCACCCCGTTACAGTTCAAATAATTTCAATAACTATTCTATGATCAAAACTATTATGAATTTAATGTAAACAAGAGTGGGTAGATAAAATATAGAAATAATTTTTTAACAAAACCTAAAAATAAATTATAATTTAAAAATAAATTATCAGTTTGCTTAATTTAACATCTAATATCTGTCGACAAAAAAATAAGTATAAGAAAAGCGAATAGGGACAAATGGACTAGCCGTTTGGTCGTGAGGACAAATGGACATAAAAATATATATATATGTATATTTATAAGTTATAAAACCATTGATATTTTATGTTCATAATATAACTAATGATATTGTATCATAATATCAAATTTTATCGAATTTTATCGTACCTTTTATATCAATATATATAACTTATTGGTTTTTACATTTTGTAATAATTATCACACTTTATCGAAATACGGTTATACACGAGACACGACAATACACATCTATAACCATGTTAGTCGTATACAAATTATGTACATGTAAGATGTCATTAATTAATTCAAATTGCAATGAAGTTTTTTTGAACGAATATTTTTGACATTAAAATTTACATATTATAATAAATATAAATAACTTATTTATTTTATTTACTGATTTATATATATATTTTTTTATGTCTATTTGTCCCTACGTCCAAACGGCTGCGTCTATTTGTCCTAGATCGTAAGAAAAGATATCCTGGCTTTATCTGGATAAAAGATAATTACCATGTTATCTAGATTATCTTTTAGATAATTTAATCTAGATCAGGGATTCTCAAACTTTTATAAACACTGTACCCCTTTTTACCAATAAACTTTTTATGTACCCCTTCTTAGTAAAATAAAATATATATAAAAAATTTAAAGACGCACACATAATGCAAAATAAAAAATAAAAAGACTACCACAATGATTATTTGTACTGATTATATTTATAAATAATACGGCTTATGGTGGAGGAGGCATGGCCCATTCCCCTAATAGCAATGGCACTGCATAGTTTAGTAAAAAATGCTGCAACCGACAGTACATACTTTTATAATGATAACTAATAAAAACATCAATTACATTTTTTTAAACTAGCTTATTAATTATGACACTTGGATGTTTACCACCTTAATTAAATAATAAATTGATAAAATTAAAAGAATAATAATAATGAAATATAAATAGGTATTTTTGTAAAACGAGAATAGTCATATAAAAAGTTTATAGCATTGTTAAACGAAGGACAAATCAAACAAATGTTGGACAGTCCTGTCCAATGTAGTACGATTGGCAACCCTAGCATAGCTTAATTTCGTGCCAATATAATTTTAACATATTTGACTGTGTACTTGGTATAACAGCAGACGCGTTTAATCAATGATGAATTAAACGGTTATTTACAGTATCGTTTTAAGCCTGAAATTCGCAATTATTAACTTGAATTTTGGAGTTTTTTCCACTATTTAAATTTAAAAGTTTGTTGGCCAGACCCGTACCTCTTAAAAAATGTCAAGTACCCTCTAGGGGTACGCGTACCACAGTTTGAGAACCACTGATCTAGATAATCCCAGCACTACATATAATGTATATCTTACATAGTTTAATTATAAATATTAGACGATTCGTTAAAATGAATATTGTATTTTAAATTTTGATTGGTATAAGATATGTAGTTATTGACTTTATTTTTATCTCAATAAAGATTTGTAAATATTTTGAAATATTGAGAATTCCTTTTGAATCATAATATATAAATAAATTTTCTAGATAATATTTTATATGATAGTCGTTTCAGAAATATTGGTAAAATATTTTTCCACTAGTTATCAAGGAAGTTGTAATATCAGTTAAACAATCAATTTTAATTTCATTCAAAATCATAAAACTCGTAGATTTTTAATACAAAAAACAGGAAAATATATATATATAGAAGTTTTAATATGTAAGTATTCAGCTAAAATTCAAAAATTGTATAGGTTTTTTTATTAGTATGTAAATTCTTGGGTTATAAATATATGCTTATATGCTATGTTTTTTAATATTTTACTTTTAAATTTACAATAAAATACATATTCTATATGAATTTAATAAGATATTGACAGCACACATTTAAACATAACGTCGAAATTAGGTAAGTTTAATTAAATATAAAATTAAAATAAATCTCCATACGCAAACGGGAAAAATATGACAAAATATGTATGAGGATTTTGGCAAACCAAAAACTACAACAAAAACTTTTTAGGATAGTTGTGTTCAAAATCGTTCCGTAAAGCGATAACCAGGGAATTCAAGTTAAAAAAAACACGATTAATCCGTTAGAGTTTTGATGTGATTTAAGTGTCTAAAACAATATCTTAAAATTAGAGTCATAGACAGGATAACGGTAATCCCGTTCACTCTCTGGTTTTTTTTTTTAGATAATGCGAACAACCGCCGTCGGATGACGTGTTCTTTGGTTATTACCTATTATTAATAACGTTAAGGATACCTACATAGGTATATTTATTGTTTTGCACACGCATATTTTAATTTCCATTTATTACTAATTACAATGCTCGCGATTACAAGCAAGATAATACGATAACCATAAAAATACATAATCTTCTCGGTAGGTAGGTACAACAAATTTTTTTTTTCCATTCGGTCGACGTATAGGTAGTCACGTTTAACGCTATCAACGTGCCACAATCTTAGGGTTAGCAAAACGAACGTCATTGTATATCTGATTAAGTGGAAACTAACGAAGAATATAGCGTGCGAAAGAATCATACTACCTATGACGTCAAAAATAGGGTCATCAAGACCACCTCCATTGCCCTAGTGATATGTTATTGAACATTTTTTTTATTACTATTAATATTGTTGTACTATATTGTTTGTATATTATTAATATTGTTTACTTAATCCTATACAAACAAACGTCCTCGCGGTTATTCTCAGGCGGAACAGCGCGCAGTACTCGACGACATAACAGTAATTACCTACTACATGGACACGCTCTGTTAACGAATGCCGTTTAACATTTACAAAAATTTAGATTGGAGCAGACAAAGGTTAACATTTGTGGTGCCAGTATAATACAATATTACCGTCGGGCACGCTCGTCGTTACTTGCGGATTTCATAATATCATTCGCGAAATGTTATAGTCAATTGAAACAATCGTTTCAACGGTGTACTTATGTTTAACATTTCTTACTCGTGTAAAGACTCAAGGTTTATGCCAAAATATTTGGATAATGTGAGTGAAATAAAAAAATACCTAAAAAAAATAAACCAATGTATATACACGTAAAATGTGGATGGTGTGTGTGTTTTGTGTATAATAAATAACTGCAAGGGCGTGGGCGTTGCACGACAGGAAACAACTAAACCGACCCTTCCACTGTAAAACTTACGAGTTACATTTTCTACGTGGTCATTCCACCAAAATGCGTGCGTTAGGCAAGAGCCTGGTCGTGGTAAGCGCAATCGTGTTGTACTGCATCAGTTGTAACGCTACGGAAATATTTCGAACTAAAAGAGGAGTCGTTCCTGGTAACGCGGCGTCCAGGCCTAAAGGTAATCTTTTTTCCCCTCCACATATTCAATCATTGGAGAGCTTTGGGAAAGTTTTTAAAACACGTTTGAATGTACACATATGTTCATGTGATAGACACCATTAGAAAATCTGAATGCCGTCACGACAATCACTGCAAGGCATGGCCAAAGACATCATGCGGTAAGGATCCGGTGGACGGAAAAAGTCGATGCTTGTGCGCCGATCAAACACATCCGATCAACGACGATTGCATTACCTCACCTCAAGGTAACATATTTGGCAGTTGTCGTTTAACAACAGACTTATGAACTTTGGCTATAAATTTGGCATACTCAATTGGTTCCGTGTCATTTTAGAATTAGGAATGGCTTGCGAGCGGGACATTCAGTGCATTCAGTTGGCTTATTGTACGCACAACGTAAACGAAACAAATCCAGATATCAAAATATGTCAGTGCAGGGAGGAGTATACCGACGAAGACGGAACATGCAGTGGTATGTAACATTTTTAAAATACATCTATGGCGGTGTCTCGTCAAGATTGTTTCCGCCATCAATATATTTGCAATTTGATTTTTTCATACAATTAAATTTCTATTATGCTACAAAAAATTAAACTTTTTGGAATGTTTAAACTAGAAACTATTTTAAACTTTTTTTCTCTACTTATATATTAAACTCATTAAGTCAATGGGTTTATATCATAAAAATTTAAAAAAAAAAATTGCCAATTTTATGGGCTAAGATTTTCTTTTTTTTTTTTAAATATCAATCTTTTAGTTAATTTTGCGTTAAGTATTAAAATATGGTTTGCCTTTTTTTTTAAAAAAAATTTTAATTAAATATAAAATTAATCACTTATGGAAGATAAATCTAATAAAATATTAAGGGTATGATATTAATATCAATAATTTTTAAGATTTTCATGAAATATAAATTTAGTATTGAATTTAGTACTTTTATATAGACTGTTTCAGGTAAATTATTTGTAAAAATTAAATTTGCTAAACCAATTTAAGGTACTCCAAAAAAAGTTGATAATATTGCATCAGGAAATTAAAAAATTAGATTTCAAAAATAATTGTATAGGAATATTATTTGTTGGGATAAATTTAGTAATACACTCAGCATAATACAAATGTTTGTAAAAAATAACACAAATTTTTATGTTACAGGTGGTGAACGTGCAATAATATCAATATTTTTAGCAATTATAGTTGCCATTATTTTTCAAAAATATTAATATTGAACAGCTTAGGTTACATTGCTATAGTCTAGTAAATTAAATATATATTTCTTATAATAAAGTTTAACTGTTTTTATAATTTTTCATAAAGAGTTGCTGATAATGTATTACCAACAGCTCCTCCAAACTGGAACGATGGAGTTGGAATAATATGTATGATTTGAAAAGCTATAGAAAGAAAAACAATGTAATATATTTGTTACACAAATAAAAAAATATTAATTAATGATTACTTACAATCATTAAATTGTTCATTCAATTCTAGTTGTGTCCAATTACAACTAATTATCAGTAACTTTCCTTTTTGTTGCAACAAATTGATTATGTTTTTTTTATATATATTTCTTTTTTCATTATTCTCATCGTTCATACTAATGACATCATATGTACCTTTATCCAAGACCAATGCAAATGTTGATAGTGATTTTACATCATCAGTCAAAAAGTTAAATTCTTTTAAAGTTATGTGTTCTATTTTTTGATCTTCAACTATTGAATTCGCTAATTTGATTGCTGGTGCTGAATAATCTATGCCGTAAAGATTGGTAAATCCTAATTTAGCCTGATTATAAAAGTTTTTTTTTTACATTACTTATTATAAATATCTAAATATCAAATTAATTATAAATATAATTACTAATTGAATTAAGAGTAAAGCATTTCCACATCCAACATCTAATATAGGATCTTCTAGACTAATTTTACAATGAGATTGTATGCACCTATAAAGTCATAATTATATGAATTTATTGAAAATGTAAATAACTAAAATAGATTACTTATACAATTCTGATTTATAACTAAACTATAATTAAAAAAAAAAAAAATAATTATTTTCTTGAAATTTTTATTTATTCATATTTTTTATCCATAATATTAAATTTAAGATTTAAGATACTTGAGCAGCAAAAATTATATAATATAGAGAATTATATATTTTATGTAACATATAATTAGAATATTATTTATAGCATATAAATAATAATTTAAAATATTGAAAATAATTTTTTTTTTTTAATATTGTTTTTCATAAAAATTATTAAAAATTAAATGAATATTCAAATATTTTAATTTTAATTAAATAATTTTATTATGTAAAAAATGTACATATACATAAATAAAAAATGTTGTCTATATAATACATACAAGTTAAATTATGTTAAAATTATAGGTATAGTACCTTACATATAAAACATGAAATTTTATGTAATATTTAAAAAAATATTTTATCTAAAACATTATTGTAAGGTATCATAAGAGTTTCAATAATAGAGTAGTCAATTTGATGTTTATACATTTAAGCATTTTACGTAGAGTAATAAATTTATCATATTTAAAGTTAAAATTATTGAAGAAATTTTTTTTAAGATAAAATTTAAATGCATAATAATGCTAATAAATATAATTGATTTATAATTTATTTATGGATGTATTTTTTGTTATAAGAATACTTTATATTTAAATATTTCTAAAATATTATGAAACTGGAAGTTTTAAATTATAGACGTTTTAAGAAATATACAAAGCAAATCAAATTCAACAAATAAGTATAAGTTAGTTAATATTAGTTATGGTACTACTTTTAGCTAGATATCCTAAATATTTTAAGTTCAGTAGAAATTCGAATAACCATCATTGTCGGGACCTGGATTATGACAGTTAATCGAATAGGCGGTAAACAGATATTTTGCAATAAAAATATATATTTTACGTCTGTATTTTCAGAAAAAAAAAAATATATACACATATTACCAGGGCCGTTCAGAAGGGGGAGGCAACGGGTACATTGTGCCCCAGGCCCCCGGAATTTTTTTTTTTATGGGGCCCCCTTAAAGTTTTGATGTATAATAATTAATAATGACGAGCTGTCATCGACCGGCTACCACTGTTATTGAGACAAAAATTATTTTTTTTGTGTCATCCACATAATAATATACAATTCTATTAGTGATATTACATTATATTGTAATACCATTACAAAATAATTGACACATTTTGTTATGTGTGTACTATACAGTATACATTGCCCAGCCAAAACAATTTAAAGTTGAAGTGTTTGTAACAGCATTAGATAGGCTTTTATCTGATATTTATGATATTCAAGCAAGTATGAAGAAAATATCAAACACATTTTATTTAATTCATTCCAGAAGAACCATGTAATAATTTTTTGAAAGCTCAAGCTGAAATAATTTCAAGTTAATAATCTAATGACGTGTGTGCTAGTGTATTAAAAGAGGAACTATGCATTTATTGCAAAATACACAAAGTATCAACAATTATTTTTAATGATAGCGAAATTGCATCAATTTCTATTCTTAATCAAATATACTACCTCAAATATGTATTTGTCTTCGAATACTCTCTACCATTCCCACGTTTGTGTCAACGGGAGAAAGATCTTTCAGTAAACTGAAATTAATAAAAAGTTATTTACATTCAACTACAGAAGAGAACCGCCTAAATCATTTAATACTTCTCTCCATTAAACACAAGTTAGCAAAGACTTTAGATTACGATGATGTTATAGACAGCTTTGCTGAAAAAAAAAGCAAGAAAAAAAGTTTTCTGATATACATTTTAATATTTTATATAAAATAATAAACTAATAATAAATTTTTTTTTTAATTTTCTTAATTTACCTTATCTATTTATTTAATCCAATAAACATCCAAGTTCATATTTTCCTTGAATAAACATAACTATTTAGGAATAAATTGTACTTTTTAGTATAATATATGGTGATGCGTTGTTTAGAACTTATTGAAAATTAAGAGTGTAATGCAGCACAAGCATTTAAATAAGCATGATTGGTTAAGATTTGGAAAATACGTTTGCAAGAATTTTTTTATTCTCATTGAGTATTTTGTTAATCATATCTTATTATTAAGGTCGCTGGAGGGCCCCCAAATTAATTTGTCCCAGGCCCCAAAAAACCTTTGGACGGCCCTGCATATTACATTACATACTAAACATTATTAAACTAAAACTAATAATTTTAAACAAAACAATGGGTTATTTTATTTTGCTTTTTTGACGTTCGAACTTTTTTAGCTGCAATATTTCGTATTTTATGTAGCCGTAAGACCGGGTTACTCGTCAGTCACTAATTAAATTAAATTAAAAATAATTTAATTTGTTTGTTCACGTCACATTTTTCGCATAGGTTGGATATTAGAAAAAATTTGTATACGTATGATAATCGCCGCAAGGAGTATATCGCGATTGCCTCATTAACGATAGCGATGACGGATAACACAAAGTGATGGTTAATCGAGTTTTTACTGTGTATGATTCCACATGATAAAAATATTTAGTACTTATTAAACAATAAATTCAAAATTAATATTTCTCATTAGATTTTAAAATGATAAATTATTGTATTTAAAATAAATGAATAATATTTTCTTTTCTTCCTTTAATATACATTGTTTTTTGATAATTCAATCAATCAATTCATTTTCCACTAGTTTTTACAGAACAAATGTTACAAAAGTGTTATCCCTATAATCTTACTTAATCATTTTCTGTCCTATAGTATGGCCAAACCATTCAGCACCTGTATCTCCAAAGTTTTTGAAATTGTTCAGTTCTACATTATAAGTATCATTCCAACTGAAATTTAAAATAATTAACACTTGTTTACAATGTAGTTAAAGAATACAAAATTAAAGATATGTCTTTTAATAATATGTTTTTTTTTCAATTGACTAAATTTAATATTTTTGTTTGATTAAAAAAATGTACACTATAAATAATATATTTCATACAATATTATAGTAATATATTTTCAATAAACTATACAAACATTTACTGAGGTAATTTTTTTATAACAATCTATGAATAATAAATTTTTCATATTTTTAGTATTTTAACCACTCTACCAGGTACATACATTTCTGTACCATCAACATTTCCTTTTTTGACATACCTTGAGAGGAACTTAATACTCTACCACCGGTATAAAAAAACAATCTTTTTGTATAAGAAGATTTATATTAATGCATATAACATTATGATTATTTTAAAATACTAGAATAAATAACATTTGTATGTATAGATGAAAAATATAATAAATATTTAAGAAATGTATGTAGATGAAAAAACACAATAATGAAACAAATAAAAATTCATGTCAATGGCTTAATTCCTCATCAGCATTTCCTTGGTCTATTTCTCAGAAATTTTATAAAAAAAATCAGCAGCCAGGCCGTATTGAGGTCTGGTGATGCCCCTAGCAAATCATTGTATTTGCCTCCCCCCCAATGGGAAATTTAAATTTTTTTACAAAAAAATCATTTGAGATATATAAAGCATGTATAAAAACATACCTAGTAGGTATACAAGGTAATAATTACTAATAAACTTTAATAACTATTTGTATTACTTTAAAATATAAACAATCACATACATTATAAAAACATGTAATTTTCTTCAAATGTTTTTATTTTACAATTTTGTTAGATGATTTAAAATGTATTTAATACAATATAACAGTGGTACTTTTCGTGCTTTTATAGAGGCAAATTTAACAATGAAAATATTAAATGAAATTATATTAGCTACATCTTTTTCATATTTCGTGAAAAACGTTACATAAGTGGTGTTGAATTTGCGCCCCTGGCCCATGCCCTCTTGCCCTGCACTGAATACAGCCCTGCCAGCACCATATCTTAGAAACTGTTGCCAAGTAACCAATCAATAATTATAATATAACAATTACGTTAAAACATTTCAACATCATTTAGGTAAAAATACTATAACTTTGCACATACAAATACAATACTAAATAGGTACAAACAATTTAATTTTTTTATTCAATTTGTTGTATAGTTTAAATTATAAATGTTCAATTATTAATTGTTAATTATTTACAAGTCAAACAGCACAATTATTTTTTGGTAACACTGTAATATTGATAATACCATAGTTACCATAATCATTAATTAATACGAATAATGTAAACAAAATAAAATATTTTCATGCATAATACTAAATATTTAGTTTTATTAGTATAAACTAAAGTTAAATAATTCCTAAAAATATTGATTCGATTTAATTAGTACTGATTTATATATGGTACTTGGTCATTTGTGAAGGATACATAACATGGCTAATATGCCAAAGGAAAAAACGGAAATACTGAAAAATGAAGAAGAATTGCAAATGAAATATGAGGAAAACAACAAAATTACCAGAAAATTTATGGAAGAAATCAATGAAATGAAAAGTAAGATGGTAGATTATAATAAACAAAATACACAAGACATAAAACACAAATCAAAACCAATTAGATCATCAGAATTCAATACTTTTATGAAAATTATTGACAATGGTGATACAATTGAAGAATACAAAACAGTATCAAGTAAAGAAACTACCATAAAAAATTATGTTTTACAAAAAGAAATTGACCGTTTAAACAGTGATCTATTGAAAAAGGAAGATATGAATGATCACTTACAAGATGAAAATAAAAAATTAACTGAAGAAAAAGATAAATATATATATCAATTATCATTGCTCAAAGAAAAAATAAGAAAACATGATAGAGAAGTAGAAATGTTAACAGGAACACTTAAAACTAGAGATTCTGAGCTAAATAGGTTAATAAAAGACATGGGAGGTATCGAGAAAAAGTTTAAACATGAACAAATCGTATTTGAAAAACAAAGATCAATTTTTATCAAAACTGCAGATGAGAATAAACAGCTTAAAGAAACATTAAAAAAGCTAGAGACAGTACACAAGGAAACAGAAGACAAGTATGTAAAAATGTTAACAAAAAATGATGATGCACTGGCAAAATGTAACAGAGAAAAAGAAGTACTAATCTCAGGATTCAGAAAACAACTGGAATTAATAGATTCGTTGAAGAGACAAAATGTTAAAATTAAGTTACAAGAAGAAATTAATATTTTAGAAAATGAGTTTAGTAAACTTTTAGAGGGTAAATAATAATATAACGATCTTTAGTTAATTCAAATCAACTTACTATTCTTCTGTAGCTAAATTAGGTTTATCTTCAACATTATTTTCGTCAGAGCTCATCTTAGCTTAATATTTTATTCTTTTATATATTTTTTAAACAGTTTTCAATGTGAGAATTTTTTTTTCTTTCTTTTGATACTTTTTTCATAACTTAAGACTTATGGAGTTTAGAACCCGTACACGGTGCTTATGGTAACATGTGAATATTTGTTATCAAGAAATATATTTACATATTATTGTGATAATAAATATGTTGTGTTTTCACTAATCTAATACAGATGATGCGTTCTTCGCCACTAGATAGCGCTAGATAATAAATTTACTTTTTCCTGCAAAAGTGTAGGAATCCAATTTACTATATTTATTATTACTTTATCATTATTGTTATTATTATTATTATGATTATTATATTGTATATTAATATATTTACCATATGTCAACGATGATGACTTCATAATTATAAGATTATTATAATTAATATTTTTAGAAATTGTCTTCTGAATGTTTATAATATCTGATCAAACAAGTCTAAAACTTTCAAAGAATAGTGATCAAGATTGCATTTAATTTTAATAATTACAAACATTTTACAATATTTTCTTTACCATGGCCGAGAAAAAGAAATAATATAATCAATCATACATATTTTGAATCTTATCGTACAGGCATTTAATGCAGTTGGATAATACATAAACTACTTATTTTCCACTATGTCAACAACATTAGTCTCTACGAAAAATCCTATTTTAATAAACACTTTTTAATGAATAATCGATACCATCAGACATGGATTCGTTTACCGAACGGAAATGTTAAAAAACAATCGCTCTCAAAACGGTCATTTGTTGTGAAATAAGTAATTACTTATGTAGAAATTGTTTTGCAGACGATGAACACCACAAGCGTGTCATGCTAATGTACCTGCATTCATAAATAACTGAAGTTATTTTATGGTTATTATGCCTAAAACGCAATTAGAGAGTCGTTATTTATAAAGGGTGCTTAATGTTATAATTTATTAACAAACACTTGAGATGTTGATTATTTTCTTACAAATTTTTATTTAAATGCATTTTAACACTGTTTTATCGGATTACTTGGTAATTAATTTCTGAATTATGTGACATTTCGCCATAGAATTTCATAATAATATTATAATCTGAATCCAAGATGCACAGCTAATCAAATACTAAGAATTTGTTCAGTCAAAAATAAATCCGTTTTTGAATGATGACCATCGTTCGAGAATTCAAGCATTTGCTAATTTTTTTAACTTGACATAAAATCTAACAGAGTTCTTTGGAAATTACGTCATGTTAAAATAATCTCGAATATGAAATTTAAAAGAGCTATTTTTAGCCTACTTCGATTGTATTTGAACAAATTTATATTTTCTAGTTTTTCTAATTAGTTTTGCTTTTTTCCATGTCTCTCTAATTTTGACACTGCCAATGACAAAAGCCTCAACATTTTAGTTTCTTTCTGTTCTAATTTTGTTTTTTTTCACGATTAAGTTAGAAATAATTATAATTTTTTTTTTTTTTTGTATAATACTTTCTAATAATATAAATCAATTCTTACAAAAGTAAAAAATATTTTTGAAAAAAATAATTGCATTAGAGTAAAAGATAAAATGTCAAAAATATTTGGCAGTGAGTTAACCGACTTTTCCGATAACTATTTCAGCGACGATATCGTATATATAGCTAATACGTGTCAATCACATCTATAAATATCGAGTGATCATTTTCGGCTTCTGAAATAATATTAATAAACAATATAAGAGTTTTTGCATTAAAACATTAAAAAATAAAAAACATTAGATTATTCAATGTAATAGAAAAGGTAAGAATCATTTTGAAATACATTTTTTGATAAAATTTGAAATTTGATTTTCAAAAAAGAAGTTTAAAAACGCTAGTTGTTTTTGAATTTTTTATAGATAAAATTATTTTGTTTTTAAGTGTTTTAATCAAACGATCATGAGAAAGAAATTATATTGTTAACTTTGTCATGCTTTTTTTTTGCTTATTTTTATTATTTATATGTGCTAATTTAAGTGCTTATTATGAACTATTAAAGAATTTATTTTTCAGTGGCGCTTAATTTGACGATTATAAGTAATATAAGCCTACATAGCTCAGTGATTAGATCACTGGTTTTGTATACAAATAGTCGAGAGTTGCCATACTAATACATAAATAAGTGATGTAAGCCCCGAACCCTGATGATATCGTTTTAGAATCAATAACGGTGTATTTGTCATACATAACCTATAAGGTTTAATTCAGTAATTCACCAGGTTCAGAGGCGCAAATCTACAGGAGCAAGGAGACACTTGCCATTCTTCATTTGGTAGGTGGTTGGAAAATTGATCGACACTCGTTGGTCAATTTTCAGACACAACAATAAATATATCTGTATATAGATAAACTTTTATTACGTAATTTATATGATGCGAACGTATACGTTATACGCTATAGCGATCAATGTTTTTTCCATATATAAGTATTTAATACTTTTGTTTTGCTCTCCGTAAATTCAACAAGTTTGCGTCTTTGACCAGGCCCAATCTATCTTATTACCTACTCAATACTTAGTATTTAAAACTTTGTGATAATTAGGTAACGTAATAATTTCATAAAATCGTTGTGTAAAACATTTTTTGAAACAAACAAACAACCTAACAAACATGCAGATACAAATATAAAAAGAGCATAAAAAATCATTAGGTAATTGAATAATCATAAATTCGTCAAAAGCTTTGATTTTTTTATAGTATCTATACATAAAAGGATACATTATAAATTCAATGGATACATAACTAATATTATTTATACACAGATGCGTTCGCTGTTCACATTTTTAGCTCAAACAATAAATCATGTTTTATTTACACATATCTGCCGTATAATATGAACCAAACCTTGTCGCACATATTATACATTGCGACATAATATAGTGATTTTGTTTATAGGACAAAACAAAAAGTCGCCATTTCCTACGAAACGATGGTCGCATAAGTTACGAGTTATAGTAAAGTTTTTTATTTTACTGTTGTAAAGTTTTTATTTTATACATTCCAAACATTGTTTATTCCCCTTATAGAAAGAACTGAAGTATTAGATGTGCTACACGCACGTATAGCTGTCTTGTTAACACGTTCGAATGAATTATCATTGGTCGAAGCGTTTTGAATACGGATGGAAAATATTATATATAATAATAAAAACCCCCATTCGGACTGTCCAAGTTTTTTTGATTTCGGTTTTCTACTATACTCAAGAGGGCTTCACGTTCACCACCACCTCCCTCACTTCTACGGGCTGATATATAACAACGTGTACGAAATATTTTATTGCGCTTCGAAACTGATATATACAATTTTCTCCTGACGCCTTCACATGTGAATACGATATCCACCCCTATTCCCCTCTAGTCGGTCCCCCCCATTCTTATTTTCTTGTTTTTACCCTCCGGTAATCCCCAAGATGCACGCAAGTACGAAATATTGATGCCATTGCCGGACCCTTAGAATATTCAATTGGAATTTAGGCATAAACATGTCCTCACTATACAATCGTGTGCTGCAATAGCATACATACCGCGACAGACATACGATATATTTATTTTATATCATTTTTACAACGTTTTCAAAAAAGAAAAAGGTATTGATGAATATCAAATGGACATTCGTATACATAAAAATATTTTCCGTGATTTCTTTTTCTTTTTGCAGTTCAATAACTGAAAAAACAAATTGAACTTGTAGTTAGTTTTCATTTTTGAAAAATATTTTCATACATATGCACATTATTATAAGATGCGTATTTAATCGGAAATAAATCTTATAAGCGTTCAAAGGTAAAATTAAACAACAATTGGTTAACCATTCATTTAATATTGTAAATACATCTAGAAGAAATCAATTTTTTTTTTGGTACATAGGTAATTCTTGGTTTTTATTGAATACATATTATGTAAATTTAAAGTTAAGTATTCATCTATAAGTACATAAGTGTAAATATTATAGCTAAAAGCATTATAATTTAAGTTATATAAGTATAAGACTTATATTTGCTACTTATTCATAAAGTATAAAGTTTTCAGCAGTGGCGCCGAACTTATACTCCAAGTAATTCAATTGAACTGCCTAAAAAATTAAAATTAATTTTCTTATATATTAATTGATAAGACTTTTCTATTTAAAATAGTATACCTATTTAATAATTAAATATTACGTAAGATCTTTAATTATTAAATATGTTAAAAAGTATTTGAATGGATGGTAAATTGGAAAGGGTGGATGGGTAAATCTAATTATTTGAACAGGCAGTTTCAATTTCATTCGGCACCATTGAATTTCAGATTGGATTCATCAAATTGAATATGCTTGGTAATATTTACTTTTTTTTTATTTAGTGGCGTTTATTGAAAATTTACAATCAGTACATTATGGTAACTATAGTTACATTTAATTTTAATTGATAAAAAACGGATTTGAATAACTTGAAGGAGGACTTCGAGTCACTTTTTTACAATGATTTAAGATATTGTATGAATAATAAAATTAATTTTATAGGCTGAAAAGATCTCTAGTTTGGTTATATTATACATCTTGAATGGGAAATAATTTCACTAAAAAACCTTTAAATTATTTTGATTAAAGGAAATTGATTAATTATGATTAATAGTATAATGTAGATAAGCACATACATCATACAGTGAAACCTTAGTATCTCGAAGTCGTAAGGGACCAAAAAAAAAAAATTCGACATATCGAAACTTCGAGTTAGAGAGGGAATTTAAAACATAAATAAAATTTGAAATAAAAATGTTTAATTATTAGGAAAAATGTGTATTTATAGTATAGAATGTATTTATACATTGAATACATATTATGTATTAGTATTCGTCATTTGGATAAGTATACATTATTTTCTATGAAAGTAGAAAATCTGACATTTTTGTTTGTTTTTGTTTAGTATTAGAAGTATTTTCAATAAAACTACCTAAAATATTAAGTGCAGAAAAAATATTGTCAGAAACTCCTGACTGTTGTTGAACGTATCTTCGAAGTTCATGTATATAGTTTTCAGCTTGAGCACCACGTATGAAAGGTTTAACAACAGCAATTTTTTCCTCGTCGATTGCTTCATCGGCAGAATCTGTCTCTGGCTCACTGAGAAAATCAGATGTTTTAAAAATTTCCGCATCGGTTAAACTTTCTGATGTGCTCAAAGTAGAATCAATATCCAAAAATTATTACATACAACGTTGTGTGTATGGTATAAG